TCCCTCGCCCCCTACCCCCTTCCCCCCCTCCCCCTGTCGCCGTCAAGATCACGTTCGATTGCCATTCGAACGTTGCCAGGTCACAGGCGGCTACATGTGAGGGGGTATAGCAAAGGTGAACAATGTTTGACAAGAGAAAGTACGTACCATTGGCAGATATGGTGGCAAACTGACCAACCCACTTCTTTCCGCCTTGTGAATCGAGCCCCTTGGCGTTGCCTAGCCGGAGATGCACCGTACGGAGGACGTGGTACGGGACGCGTGGGCTGGACGCCATCGACAGTTCAAAAACGAGAGAGACGTGCGAGCCGACGATCATACACGCCTTTACCTTTTTGGCAAACAAAGTTCGCTCCGCTCCTGCTGCCCATGCCACGCGCACTCTGCCGTGCGCGCCCTGCCTAGATCGGGTTCTTGCAAGCCAGATGCAGGTCAAGCGCGGGATATTTTTTAGACACCGCAGCCTGCTTGCACTTGAGCTAGCAGATGTCTTGGCGCAAAGCCAGGCTTTGCGCTGGCGTTCGTGCCTCGCTCCCGCGTCCGAGGCTTGCCTGCGGGTGTTTGTCTCGTCTCGCAGCGACCGTGGGTCGGGCGGAACCAGCCGCACAGCTGATAACCTCCACAAAGCTTCCCGATGGCAATCAATCACGCACCGGCCTCGAGCTCGACCGCGCTCTCTCCCGGCTCGCCGCTGCTGCTGGCATCACTATCGTCACCAGCGGCGGCAGCGGCGGCAGCGGCGGCCTCGGCCTCGACCTCGTTCTCAGCATCGAGCTGGTCCAGCCGGTCAAAGATGGTGTCGACATGGTTGGGATTGGCAAGATAGCCGTCCTCGTCCCAGATCAGCCCGGCCGACGGACGCGCCTGCTGCTCAGCCTCCATCATGGCCATCCACTCGCCCTGGACGGCGATAACCTCTTCGCCCGAGCTGCATGCCTCGTACCGGCGGAGCAGCTCGTCGTTGAGCGTGAGGAATCCGTGGCCCCACTTGAACTTGGACATGATCTCCTCGCCCTCGGCCCGGAAGCCTGCGATGATGAGCCCGGCGGCAAAAGCCTCGACACACGTCAGCTTGAGCGGCTTGCCGTAGTTAACCGGGTTAGCCGCAACCAAGTACGGAAGCAGCCGATGCTCGCCCTTGAGCTTGGCAAATGGAATCTCATCGACCCGCGCCCACGAGCAGTCGACAACGCCGAGGCCCGACGCCGCAATGATGTCTGCGTCGGCCGGCGAAATCGTCGCTGTCCCAGCCGGCGAGAGCACAATCCCGCCGCCACGCTGAGTCACCTCCAGCGAGGTGACAAAGCCCATCCGCTCCAGCTTGCGCCCCGTACACCGCTTCGCATCGCACTGGCCAAAGTCCCACATGGTCAGATCGATGGCAAAGCCCGCATCGCCGTCGTCGCCGTCGCCACGCAGATCGCCCTCCCGCTCCGCCAGCGCACTGCCATACCATCATCACCAACCAACCAAGCGTAAGATGTGATATGCTCCCTTTTCCCACTTCCACCCCGCTCGCGCACCGCCCATGTCCTTACCCTCGTCCCCGCCTGTGATCCATCCGTGCTCGGCTCCGGCCACGCCCGCCGCGACCTCCTCTACCCCGGCCCCGGCCACGCCGTCCTCCTCCTCTGCCACCACCACCGCCGCCCCCCTTCTTCCGCCCGCCCTTGCCACCGTCACGGTTCTTGCCCATGGTATCAGATATGGGTCAAAGATGGGTGTGAGCGGTCAGGGCGGTCGGCCCCCACCCTCCCCCCCTCCCTCCCCCGAGTCCGAGTCCGAGTCGCACAAGGAAAGGCTCCCTCCCGGAAAAGGGGACAACCACTTGACGCAGACGGTAGCTAAAAGCAAGTATGGGTCGTCGTGCACGTCGTAAAGCCGCTCGGCGGGCGCCAAAGCCTACGGTGCCCAAGGTGTTTGACTGTCCCTTCTGCAACCATTCGCAGAGTGTGACGGCCCGAATGTAGGTTGGCTGAGAGAGAGGGAATTGTTTCACGGCCTTTTGCGGGCAGGTGGGCATGTTTCCCCTCGCGGGATGGGCATGCAGGCTGAAGACGCCGAGAAAAGTACTCACAGACATGGAGGGTTGGTGTACAGTGATCACGAGCAGGGTGTGGGTACGGTCAGTTGCAACGTGTGCAACGTAGAGTGGGCAACCGTCACCAATCCGCTCTCCGAGCCCATCGACGTCTTTACCGACTGGATCGATACCTGCATGGAGGAGAACGAGGGCTTCCGCCCCGATGTCGACTTTGATGAGGACGAGAACATCGGCTACTGACGACTGCCAACACGATTGAACCATCTACACACCTTGTCTTTCTCGCAGCCCCCCCCCCCCCCTTCTCCCTTTCACCTGTCATAGGACCCACAGCAGCCAGCCCGGATATCCGGCTGCCCGCGAGCATCTCGGGAGTTCGCTGCCAGTCCCGGCTCGGCTCTCGCGGGCGGTGCAGTAGACATCGAGCGCGAGGAGATCAAGTCCCAGATGCGGGCCTGCGGTCGAGGTTCCCGCCACAGCGGCGAGGGCATCCACGAGGCCTGCGGCATCATCGCCGCGACCGAGTCGGCCCAGGGCTCTCCAGAGGAGGACAGCACGCTCGCGCGGTCTCCTCACAAGTAGAGGATTGAACCATGTTGCCTCAAACGGGTCTTCGGCCGCGTCGCGTGTTGGTTCGAACGTTAGGGTGTGGGTACGGTCAGTTGCAACGTGTGCAACGTAGAGTGGGCAACCGTCACCAATCCGCTCTCCGAGCCCATCGACGTCTTTACCGACTGGATCGATACCTGCATGGAGGAGAACGAGGGCTTCCGCCCCGATGTCGACTTTGATGAGGACGAGAACATCGGCTACTGACGACTGCCAACACGATTGAACCATCTACACACCTTGTCTTTCTCGCAGCCCCCACCCCCCCCCCCCCCCTTCTCCCTTTCACCTGTCATAGGACCCACAGCAGCCAGCCCGGATATCCGGCTGCCCGCGAGCATCTCGGGAGTTCGCTGCCAGTCCCGGCTCGGCTCTCGCGGGCGGTGCAGTAGACATCGAGCGCGAGGAGATCAAGTCCCAGATGCGGGCCTGCGG